GAGACTTTAATGACGACCACACCGTTTAAATGATTTACGTAAACATCTTTAAACCATGAAATAAAAGCAGACCTTTGTGATGTTTTTCTGCTCGGAGCTAAAGAGCCGACAGTTCGCTGCTAGCATGCGGTGTGGAAACCAACTGAAGCTCCGCCATGTCGCCGCCATTTCAATAAACTCCTCACTTCTCAGTGTTTGCGATAAAGAATTAAAAACATCGTTGCATTTTGTTACGACAAACACCAGCGTTTTAAATGAGCTGATGCCCTTCTATCTCAACACAGCTGAGTTAAACGTATCTACCCACAAGCGACGCCTATCGATCGGTGTTACCCTAAAACGATTCTCATGCCGTAAAGTGTCGCAAAACAGGACAGAGTGGCCTTGAATAAGTTTAAATAAACTATCTATAAACTAACTATTATTAACCGTTTGTTGCTTGAAGAAAGTAATTTAACAATCCATGCGTTGGTTATATAATATTTTATAAAATCCCAGTTTCAAAGAAAAGTAAGAAAAATCCAACTGTAAACATGACCACAAACTGTTTTATCAGGATACCCTGTGAAAGTGTGAGGTAGTATTTGAAGTAGTAGCTATCAACATGTGCAAATTCCCCCCAAAAAAGGCAAAATGAAAGAACTCTACCCAAACTTTTAGAGAGCTGACACTTTACACCAGGGATCTGCAACTTTTGCAATCCAAAGATCCCCTTTTACATCCTGCCCAGCAATGAACTACATTGTTACTTTTTATTTTTATTTTAGAGATATCTACCAAAGATTGTTTTTTAATAAAAACTGTTCCATTTCAAAAGTTTTAAAATGAAGGGGGGAAAATGTGAAAAGAGAATAAAAGGTTTTTAAATTGGTTGCTGAAATCCCATTAAAGCATTTTGAGGAAAAACTATTTAAAAATCTATATTTCAGTTACATTTAGAGTTTATTTATTTTTGGAAATCCGATGCAACTAGACAGTGTATTAGAATATATATTTTTCCAAAGATTTGCAGCCCTTCATCATTTTCAGCCAAAGGAATGAAGAGCCATTTTCAAGTGTCCAAAAACCCACTTTGAGCAACAGGTTGCAGACCCCTTGCTTTAGACAAATAAAGCAAACTGAGTTATTATGATGCTATTTTAACTTTATAGCATTTATTCATCAATGTATTTATATTGTTACACTAAAAGTGCCTCTCTTTTTCATGCTATCATTTCCAGTTCTAAAAATTAAAGATTAGAAATATATTTGATCTGGCAAACAAAAAAACAACTTCTGAAAAAAATAACAAAATGTCATAAAAAAAACGTAACAAATACTGCAATAAGTTAATTCCAAAGAAAAAGACTAAAAGAAAAATCTTTCAAACCTAAGCAAGTAAAAATGTCCACAAAGCTAAATTAAGGTAATAAAAATAAGTATTCAGTAGGTAAAGGGAAGGGAAAAAACACGGTGTAATTTTAATAAATTTGTAAAAACTAAGAAAAGGAAAAAATGTTGTAGAAATCTTGGGCTGATACATTTAATTTGATTAATCTTTTGCTATCAGATTATTAATCACAAAAATAATCGACAAATGAATCAATTAACATAATCATTAGTTGCAGCTCCAGTGATATCCTATTACTTTTTAATAACTGTTCTACTTTATTTAATGGTGTAGTAATATAAAGGTAAAAGCCACTGTCATGTATAATTTCAATAAGCTTCCATTTTCTCTGAACAAAACTGTTGCTTTTAAACTGCATTAAAGAAGTTCTTCCATGAAATAAAAGACTGTTACAAACATACCTGAGACAAGCTTTTGTGTAAACATAATTTTTAGCTTCATGGAGGCCTAGCTGTATTAATATTAAATTAAACTGTAAGGTTTGTCAATCTTATAGGAATAGAAAAAATATATTTGCAAATCCTAAATTTTCCTGTTGGAAAATGAAATCTGCATCTCCAAAAAGTTGGTCAGCTGCAGGAAGCATGAAGTGCTCTAAAACTTCCTGGTATGTGGCTGCGTTGACCCTGGACCTCAGAAAACACAATGGACCAACACCAGCAGATGACATGGCACCCCAAACCATCACTGACTGTGGAAACTTTACACTGGACTTCAAGCAACGTGGATGAAGTGCCTCTCTTCTTTTCCTCCAGACTCTGGGACCTTGATTTCCAAAGGAAATGCAAAATTTACTTTCATCAGAGAACATGACTTTGGACCACTCACCAGCAGTCCAGTCCTGTTTCTCTTTAGACGCTTCTGACGCTGTCTGTGGTTCAAGAGTGGCTTGACACAAGGAATGCGACAGCAGAAACCCATGTCTTTCATACGTCTGTGTGTGGTGGTTCTTGAAGAACTCACTCCAGCTGCAGTCCACTCTTTGTGAATCTCCCCCACATTTTTGAATGGGTTTTGTTTCACAATCCTCTCCAGGGTGCGGTTATCTCTCTTGCTTGTAGACTTTTTTCGACCACATCTTTTCCTTCCCTTCGCCTCTCTATTAATGTGCTTGGACACTGAGCTCTGTGAACAGCCAGCCTCTTTAGCGATGACCTTTTGTGTCTTGCCCTCCTTGTGCAAGGTGTCGATGGTCGTCTTTTGGACAACTGTCAAGTCAGTAGTCTTCCTCATGATTGTGTAGCCTATAGAACTAGACTGAAAGACCATTTAAAGGCTTTTGCAGGTGGTTTGAGTTAATTAGCTGATTAGAGTGTGGCACCAGGGGCCATCAATTTTGAACCTTTTCACAATATTCTAATTTTCTGATATGATGAATTTGAGATTTTCATTTGTTGTCATTTGTAATCATCAAAATTAAACAAAATAAACATCTGAAATATATGAGTTTGTATGTAATGTATGAATATAATATACAAGTTTCACTTTTTAAATGGAATTACTGAAATCAATCTACTTTTTCATGATATTCTAATTTTATGACCAGCACCTGTATATATATATATATACACTATATTGCCAAAAGTATTTGCTCACCCATCCAAATTATTGGAATCAGGTGTTCCAATCACTTCCATGGCCACAGGTGTATAAATTCAAGCACCTAGGCATGCAGACTGTTTTTACAAACATTTGTGAAAGAATGGGTCGCTCTCAGGAGCTCAGTGAATTCCAGCGTGGAACTGTGATAGGATGCCACCTGTGCAACAAATCCAGTCGTGAAATTTCCTCGCTCCTAAATATTCCACAGTCAACTGTCAGCTGTATTATAAGAAAATGGAAGTGTTTGGGAACGACAGCAACTCAGCCACGAAGTGGTAGGCCACGTAAACTGACGGAGCGGGGTCAGCGGATGCTGAAGCGCATAGTGCGAAGAGGTCGCCAACTTTCTGCAGAGTCAATCACTACAGACCTCCAAACTTCATGTGGCCTTCAGATTAGCTCAAGAACAGTGCGCAGAGAGCTTCATGGAATGGGTTTCCATGGTCGAGCAGCTGCATCCAAGCCATACATCACCAAGTGCAATGCAAAGCGTCGGATGCGGTGGTGTAAAGCACGCCGCCACTGGACTCTAGAGCAGTGGAGACGCGTTCTCTGGAGTGACGAATCGCGCTTCTCCATCTGGCAATCTGATGGACGGGTCTGGGTTTGGCGGTTGCCAGGAGAACGGTACTTGTCTGACTGCATTGTGCCAAGTGTAAAGTTTGGTGGAGGGGGGATTATGGTGTGGGGTTGTTTTTCAGGAGCTGGGCTTGGCCCCTTAGTTCCAGTGAAAGGAACTCTGAATGCTTCAGCATACCAAGACATTTTGGACAATTCCATGCTCCCAACTTTGTGGGAACAGTTTGGAGCTGGCCCCTTCCTCTTCCAACATGACTGTGCACCAGTGCACAAAGCAAGGTCCATAAAGACATGGATGACAGAGTCTGGTGTGGATGAACTTGACTGGCCTGCACAGAGTCCTGACCTCAACCCGATAGAACACCTTTGGGATGAATTAGAGCGGAGACTGAGAGCCAGGCCTTCTCGTCCAACATCAGTGTGCGACCTCACAAATGCGCTTCTGGAAGAATGGTCAAAAATTCCCATAAACACACTCCTAAACCTTGTGGACAGCCTTCCCAGAAGAGTTGAAGCTGTTCTAGCTGCAAAGGGTGGACCGACGTCATATTGAACCCTATGGATTAGGAACGGGATGTCACTTAAGCTCATATGTGAGTCAAGGCAGGTGAGCAAATACTTTTGGCAATATAGTGTATATATATATATATATATATATATATATATATATATATATATATATATATATATATATATATATATATATATATATAATCCATAATCAACGGATTCAATATCAATCAAGTCTAATTTACACAAATCAACATAGAAAGAATTAAATTAAATTCTCTTTGAATTCAAGAAAATCTCTATCTTTTTGGAAAGATGGATAAAACAAAAAAATGCTATTTTACAAACATTTCTAGAGATGTCCTAGCATTTGGGGTATTATTAAATAGAACCAATAATAACTCTGTTATGTTTGGTTTAAAAAAAATAACCCCAGTCTTTAAAGCTTTTTTTTTTTTTTTTATTGACTCCCATTCAATCTTTAAAATATGTTGAGATATGTAGAGACCTATATAAATTGTTAATTGAATTTCCAATATTTCCAATATTTTATTTTTATATTGTTTTTTCTTTCTATTTAATCTAGATATACATTTCTTACATCCACATATATTTACACACATTTGTTCTTACATGCTTTATTAAATAAAGCGTAGGTAAAATAAAAGAGAATTGCTCTTTTTTCGACGTTAGGTCGAAAAGCTGTGATTTTGCCTTATTTAACCCAGCTGCTTGTTGTTACTTGTTCTAATAACGTTTTTTTATAAAAAAAAAAAAAAAAAAAAAAAAAAAAACAGCGAGCCCTTAAAGAATTAATGTTGGCCAACAAAAACTAACGCATGGTTTTAAAAATTCGTAAAACCGCTTAACAGAAACTCGGTACTTCATTGTCCTTTCTTTAGTGTAAGGAAAAATGTATTCGTGTTTCATAAATATATTTCAATAAACATTTCTTTTTTTTAACATTTAAGCAACTTAGTTAAATTCTATCTGTATGGAAAAGGCTAACTCCGGAAACCCTGGCATGTGGATGGTCGTTTGGTGCATGGCGCGTGTTTTGAAGCTGCTTATGGAGAAATGTCTTGGGCCGTGAGTAGTGAGGAAACAGGAAGCGATTCTTGTGGGATGGAAGAGGGAAATAGTGACAATGAAGGTTGGAAGATAGCAACATCAAAAAATGAGAAAAAGCGGAAAAAACAGAGATCAGTTCAAGGGGAATCTAGTTCAGAACAATCCAGTGATGATCATTCCATACATTCCACAGCACAACAAAATGAATTCAAAGTCATATTCAAAGTCGTTAATCAGGCAGACTCTTTTACAAATTGGAATCCGGTTCACTTAACAAAAACCATCAATAAACTTGTCGGAGAAGTCAGAGGTGCCAGAATTCTGTACAGTGGAGACCTGCTAATTATCTGCAGAGACAGCGCCCAGCAAGGCAAAGCAATACGGATCAACAAAATTGACGGGATAAGAGTTCAGTGCAGCTTAATGGAGAACAAAAAGTTCAGCAGGGGAGTCATTGGAGGAGTTCCTCTAAAAATTTCTGAAAAAGAGATTCTGGAAAACATAAGAGGTGCAAAAGTAAAAGAAGTAAAACGGTTAAAAACAACAAGAAACGGAGAAAGATCTGACAGTTTATCTGTGCTAATTAAATTCGAAGAAGAGCAATTACCAAGCAAAGTATTCATCGGTTACATAAGCTATAATGTCAAAATCTACAATCCTCCACCATTGAGATGTTTCAAATGCCAAAAATTCGGTCACATTGCAGCAGTTTGTAAAGGGAAACAGAGGTGTGGAAGGTGTGCAGGAGAACATGAGTACGGAAAATGTGGAAAAGAAGCTAAAATAAAATGCTGTAATTGTGGTGGAGAACATACTGCTGCCTATCGCGGCTGTGAAGCAAGCAAAAGGTCTGAGGAAATTAAAAAAATGAAATTTGAGCTCGGAATAACCTACGCTGAAGCTGCAAAAAGGATCCCATCTCAGTCAGGAAAACCCAAACCTACAGTTCAACACACAGCAAATTCCAAACCTCTAGAGAAATCTCTAAAAATTGATGAAGACTCACTTATTGTTAAAAAGACAAATTTTGTTCTTTTCATGGTAGAAGTTATTAATTGTACTGCACAGACAACAAAAAAAAACGGAAAAAATCAAAATAATAGTGAAGGCTGCAGAAAAATATCTGGACATTAAAGATTTGAACTGGGAGATGGTTGGAAGTATGATGGGAGGACCGATGGGACCATCAGAAACTGGCAGAGTTAAGATGACCTAGAGTAAATTAAAATTATATGGGCAAATGTGATTTAGTATTATGTTGGTTTAAGTTACACAGGTTTTTTTTTTTTTTTTTTTTTTTTTTTTTTTTTTTTTTTTTTTTTTTTTTTTTTTTTTTTTTTTTTTTTTGGGGGGGTGAATCGTTTCCTGTTTTCTTGTTATACTCCATATCAGTTGGTGGCGGTAATGCACAATTCACAAGTCTGCCAACCGCCATAAAATCCCATAAGAAGAAGAAGAAGAAGGCTAACTCCGCGTTAGCTCAAACAGCTGAGCTGGAAGGTAAATGCTAGAAGGTAGCTAGGTAAGCTAATGTTATGCTTTAATCAGCGGAGGGGAGAGGATTTCCGCAACAGGTCAGATGGCTGTACGCTGGCTATGCAGGTAAGATGAAGCTGGTGGTGTTTTGGTTCAGGTTGATAATTGAAGTGTAATACACCGCCTCTGTTCCAGTAGGTAGGGCAGAGTCAGGTGATCCTCCTTCACACACAATGGCTTTAACTCAGCATGGAGGCTGCTCCTTTTGTTCATTTATTTGAAATCCTCCTTAAAGTGCACAATCTACAATTAATAAAAAAAATGTAACCTTAAATGGTAGAGTAAGAGAGAAAACTCCAGATTTATTTAGTTTCAGCGATTGGGCTTTTAGCAAATCGGATTGCAGTCCGTCATAAAAATGTCATGTTGGGTGTAGGATGGTGTGATTTATTTTTTTATTGCAAAACAGGCGGTTCAGAAAGATTAGCTGCGATTTAGTATCTGTTGAGCATGAAGGGAAGGATCCTGTTATAGTACTGGAGCACATCAGTTTATTCAGCTTAAGAAACGTTGAGTGTAAAAATATGCTATAGATGATCTAACTAGATACTGCTGAGCATATCTGGTGTGTGGAGAAGAGATGGTAGCTGTATAATTCAATGCTCAAAACATCCTAGATTCTGTTTCAGTGTATTTCTGTAGCTCCAATTCACGACACATGTCATCTCAAGGCACTTTACAGATCATCCAGTCACATTGATTCAAAGTTTTCTATCTAAGGAAAACCAGTTGATTGCATTGAGTCATTGACTCTGATGCAATCCCTCACAGTAAGCATGCTTGTAGCGACAGTGGAGAGGAAAAGTTCCCTTTTAACAGGAAGAAATCTCCAGCAGAACCAGGCTCTGTTGAGGCCGACTGGGGTTCAGGGAGACAGAAGCAGAGATACAAAAAGCAGCTGTAAAAGGCAGCCCCTTCCAGGAAAAACACAGCCAGGCAGACGAGCTCTGAGCCAGCTCCCATGTCAGAGGATGAAGAGAGCACATGCAGCCAGTCACAGGCAGAGAAACAGGACTACAGAGGAAAACAGGCCGATCTCCAACATCTATAAACAAAGGTGTTGATGGCAGCAGCTCTGCTGATATTTCTTTCCAGAATGGAGTCACAGCAGTAGATCGGAATAAATGAAATACTTTCATTGAAATTTTTTTTGTTCAAAGTTGAATGTACCAGCAAAGCTCATCAATGGAAATCAATTTTATTTAGCAATGGAGTCCTTGATTTGGAGTTACTCCTCTCTAACTTAGAGTATTACTCTAAGTTAGAGAGGAAAAACAGACTACATGCTTAGAACAGGTCAAAATGAGGCTCAGTGTTGTGTGTGGCCTCCATGTACCTGTATGACCTCCCTATAATGCCTGGGCATGCCACTGATGAGGGGCTGGATGGTCTCTGGAGGGTTCTCCTCCCAGACCTGGATTGAAGTATCCACCAACTCCTGGAAAGTCTGTGGTGCAACGTTACGTTGGTAGATGGATTGAGACCTGAGGTCTCAGATGTGTTCAATCGGATTAGGCTCTGGGGGAATTTCTGACACACTCCAGCCATATAGCTTTGTCCTGCATTTAGAGGAACCCAGGGCCAACTGCACCAGCATATGGTCTCACAAAGGGTGTGAGGACCTCATCTCGTTACCTAATGGCAGTCATGCTACCTTGGGTCAGCACATGGAGGCTGTGCAGGTCTCCAAAGAAATGCCACACCAACCCACTGCCAAACGGTCGTGCTGAAGGATGTTTTAGGCAGCAGATCACTCTCCATCGTGTCTCCAGACTCGGTCAAGTCTGTCACAATCGCTCAGTGTGAACCTGCTTTCATCTGTGAAGAGCACAGGGCGCCAGTGGCAAATTTGCCAAACCAGCCAAGTGTTGTGTGCAGCGCTGGGCTGTTAATAAAGCCCTATCTGTGGACATTGGGCCCTCTTACCATCCTCATAAAGCCGGTTTCTAACCCCCTTTGTGCAGACACATGTACATTTGTGTGCAGGGCTCTGGCAGTGCTCCTCCTGTTCCTCCTTGCACAAAGGTGGAGGTAGCGGTCCTGCTGCTGGGTTGTTGCCCTCCTACAGCCTCCTCCACGTCTCTTGGTGTGCAAGAAGGTCCAGCAACACCGATGCATCGGTGCATTCATCAAGCCCATAGAGCAAAACACTGTATTGGTGCTGTCCTGTCATTTCAAGGAAGTCATGTGACCGATACAGGAGCTGTTTCCAACTGACTGACTCACTAAACTGTGTTTAAAAACGTATCTGCCAACATGATGCATCTGCTAAAAAAAAATGTCTCACCTTTTTTTTCGGTTTATCATTAAAATTATCAACAATTTTGGAGCACCCTAAAAGGAATAGCAACGTTTCAGCTGTTGTGTTTTATTTTAATTTTCTCATTGTGTCATACTTTTCCTCTCGATTATCACTCAGCTTATCTGAATTAAAGTTAATTTCAATTGACTTTTAGTGTTTTTACTGTACTTATTTTTTTAAATATGATTTAAAATCCTAATCCACAAGCGTCCACATTCACATTTTCCCCTAAATTTTTTGTTTGTTTGCATTATTTATTGGCTGCATCTAAAAATATCAAAAATATTTTCAATTTAAACATAGATATGAAATAATAGAATATAATCTACAATAACTTATATTATATCATTGTAGTAGGTCATCAAATCAATTCAGTTTAGTTTGTCCAGTAAACTGCCTGTAGTATCTTTAAATGTCCAGCAGGTGTCAGTATACTGTTAGACTATCAACGCAGCTTCAATAAAAAACGCTTCAATATTCTTCATTAACGCATCACTAGATTTAGTTTAATTGGTTATACTGTGTTTTTAAGCGTTCCCTTTATATTTATTTTAGCAGTGTAGTTGTATATGGTTTTATTCAAATTAAAGGCACCGGAGTGCCCGAGGCAGTAAATGGGTGGACGCGATCATCCGTCAGACCAAAGAAGAAGAAGAGGCCCGTGTCGAGGGAGGGGCGGAACCAGTCTGACCGCAGTCAGTTAGTCAGTCAACGAGAGGAGAGTCGGTAGTAAAGCTCACCGGGAACATAACAGAAATCCCTGCTTTAGTTGCTGGATGCCCTTTATTTGCCGGCCGATCCGGCTGATGGAAACAGAGCTCCGTGAAAATGTGCGCGAATGTGCTCGGCGTGTTGAAAAGGTGAGAGATACCGATGGTGTGTGTCTGTGTGTGGGGCTGACAGCATCTGGAGATGCTTGGAGGGGTGTGAGCGTGTTTCTTATCCCTTAGCAACAAGCCGACAGATCGGGGGGGATTCCGCTGTGACATAATGCGCAATTTCCCTGTAGCAGGACCTGATGGCGCAAGGTGGAGGTTTAGACAGGAGGTGGAGGATTACATGTGACCTGTAGCCCTTCATGCTACATAGAAACAACGTGTGCCTCTATCTTTGTGGGGAATATTGGGTTTTGGAAGCTCTGATCTCTCATTTTTCATCTACTGTTCTGTTAATGCCCATTCCCTCTTACATAATCAAATGTTAATTCCAAATATTATTTAATATAAGATGCGCCACGCTGTGGATAAAACAGTGGTTCTGTGTACAGATCAGTAACCCTGCTCTTAAGGATATGGGCTGATGATGACAGCCTACTGTTAGCAGGGGCGGATTTAAGAAAGTTGGGGCCCTAGTCAAAGACAGAGAGGGGGCCCTCTGAATTGAGAACACATAAAACAGACCAATTATATAGATAGAGAAATGTTAATACTGTAGAATAGACATACATTATTTGTTCTACAATTTGTCTCTCTTCTTTTACCTTTTCTTGTTGTTTTACTTTCTATGTTTTGTACTCAGCTGATTTTCATGCTATCCCAAAAGGAATGAAAGATTTTTTCTAAGCACTTAACTTAACTGATTGCTCCTTCGTGTGTTTCGAAAAAGACGACGGCAAAAGTAAATAACACAGTCCTCCTTTTCAATGTAAACAAGCCACGATCTGCTTATCGGTTCTCCATTTTTCATTTGTATGAAATAGCAGTTGCATGAATCATGACAGCAGGCAAGACAGCAGGAGGCGGGTTACCAATCTACTTGCTCTGGAGAGCAGAGTTCGCTGCTTTTAGATGTTGTTGAGAAAGTCTCCAGTAAAATAAAAGTACTAGAGGGGTCTAAAAAGTCGCTAAATATAGCGACAAAAGAGCTAAGTTTGCAACACTGCTCTTCGCACCGTTTCAAATGGTTTGCTGCTTGTTTGGACCTTTCTGAACATGTGCAGCAAATGGACTGATCCAATTTGATGGACACTGAAGGGGGGCTGAGACACACTTAATATTATAAGCGTTCTGATGGCCTTTTTATTTTAGGTTTTTTTTTATCAATAACATGTAAAAGGAGTTTTATGGGGCCCCCAGGAACTTGGGGCCCTAGGCAACTGCCCAGTACTGCCTAATGGTAAATCCCCTCTGCCTATTAGAACCACGTTTTTCTCTCTGTTCCAACACATCAGGTCCAGCATGATTAGCACCACAGCATGCCAGCAATTCCTCCAGAAAGTCTGCTAATTACCGGTATGTATTTATTTAGGTTGACTGAAACAGCAGATAAAAACCTTAACCTGCAGTAAAGGAGGCTTTCTTCATGCAGGCTGGACTTCTCTGCCTCACATTGCTTGTGGCACATTTCATCCTGAATGAATTATTTTGATCAATGGCTTTGTTTTTAGCCCACCCTGCCAGGTCTGTGGACTACAATAGAAATACAATTTTATATCTTATAGAAAAAATGATATTGACAATATTAATATTTAGAATTACAATATTCTTTTTGATCAAAATAAAACACAATTTTCAACACCCCTCTCCTAAATTCACTCTATCAAAAACATCGATAGAGTGAATTTTGTTCCATTATAGTTGCAAGCAAAGAACACATTTTCTAAATTAAAATTTTGACGAAAAATGGAATCCACAGATGAACATTTGAAAATAAATAAAAACAAGGATTTCACCGCAACTTTGCCGTTTACTCAGATTTAGCCATTTTCTAAATTATTCTTTTTTTATTATTTTATTGCTCTATTGATTGTTCTTTGGTATTTCCTCATTCATGAAATTTCTCAAGAAGGCAAATAGCGTTAATTAAAGGGTTGTGTTTAGCATCAGATTTAAAGGAATTTTTGTTTTTATTTCTCACTTCATCTTTTTGCATTTACTTTTATATAATTTATATTACATGATTTATACAATTCATTGACTTCATAATGAATATGCAGTGAGATGTGCCTATTTTTTATTATAAGTTAAAGTAACATACCTATGCTTTGAAACAGCAAGTGTTTGTCAAAGTGATTAATTTATCTTTTTTTTGAAAGTCTTAAGTCCCCCTGAAAATGAGAACATCATTGTTGTTCGATGCCGTAGCGCGTATATTGTTTCCATTGCGACCGGTCTAACTAGGGAGTACTAATATGGCCGGAGGCTTCACTTCAACCCTGTACTACCAACAGACGATCAGCAATCCGTTGAATAAATAGAGATCAGTGGGTTCCACCCTGTCACAGATTGGGACCAATTAAGGATTCAATGAGCCCATTAATGAAACAACTTGTTGATGTTAAGATGATATTTGTTTGTTCTTCAAGTTGCTGATCCAATTCAGCAAGTAACCTTTAATGAAGGGAAAGATCCAACAAATCTGTCTTTTTAGGCTAATTGCTACTAAATCTACTTTCATTGTGCTTTTCTTTCAGCCTCTTTGGGAAGCCTTTTGATGGCGGAAAAAGGATGGACCATGGTGGTCCACAGGACCAGCAGCAGCATCCAATGGAGCAGCAGCAGCCGTACCACATGCAACACCCTGCAATGATGAGGCTGTATGAGGTCCAGAAAGAGGTCGCAACTTTGGGGCCGCAGGTCTGCACCTTCAGCGGCCTGCAGAACGACCGGGACTACAAGCGAATGGAGCGCGAGCTGACTCAGCTGCTGTTGCAGGTGGACCAGGTGGACACAGAGGGAAAACTTGAGCTCCAAGGAGCACGCAAGAGAGCAGCACAAGAGGTGGAGGGCCTCCTGCGATATCTGGAGGAGAACGCCTCCCATCCGTCTCGCCTGGCCATCGAAGAGCTGAGCAATGCAGCGCGGCAGCTGGTGGATGAGCGGGTGGTGGCGCCACAGCGAGCAGGCGCGGTGGCGGAGATAAATGACGAGCTGGTGGACGCCCTTCAGGAGCTGATTCTGAGGCTCACTCAGATTAAGACTGAGGGCAGGGTGCCGCTCCGGAAAGCGCGATACCGTGCGCTCACACGGCTGTGTGCCGTGCAGGAAGTGCTTGAAGGCCGCACGCCGCAGCAGACGCTCTCTCTACCGCTGTCAGGGGACACCCACGAAGCTGTAAACCGTATCAACCAGGTCATGGTGAAGGTGAGCATGGCTCGCAGCCAGCTTCTAGCACTGCTGATGGGGTTGAGTGGGAGGGACAGCTGTGCGCACCTGTCTCGCATCCTCACAGAACTGCAGGTGGAGCTGGACGCCCTGGACGTCTCTGGGAATGCAGCAATCCGAAATTACAGGAAACAGGTCGTGGAGGAAATAAACGGGCTCCTAAAACACCTGGACCTGGAGGGAGAGGGAGATGACACTCGCAGGTACATCTCAGTTTCTAATTAACGCTGATAAGATGGAACTCCCTCACTGTCTGAATCTATTACCATCTAATGATGGTGGTTCTGTTTTTGCTGTTGGTCGGGTTCTAAATGAGAATTTTAGTATAAGAATAAAAAAATCCATAAATGCCTTTGTTCAATATGCACTGACAGCCGCTGCTGGTACACAGTCATCCTCTTGTCTGTATTCTGGTTTAACCTGAATTTGTGTCAAATGGGTAGAAGGGGTTAAACTTTCATAGAGGGCAGTATTTCTCATGTAGATGAAAGATTATTAAAATTCTGGTTTAAATGCCCCCAGAAAATACTCAGTGCTTCACCTTCTAGAGATCTTTTTTTTTTTTTTTTTTGACACTTAAAATGGAAAACCTTTTTTTTATATCGCTATGCTTACCCAGAACTCCTCAAGTGGAGTAGTTTTAGCTTCACCTGTTTAAATTCTCTATAAAATTGTCTTTAAGGAAGCTTTTCCCATCCAATTATTAATCGATTGATCCATCCATCCATTTTCCGTCATGCTGGGTTGCTTGCTATCTCCAGCTGTCTATGGTTGAGAGGCGGGGTCCACCCTGGACAGGTTGCCAGTCCATCGCAGGGCGACACAGAGACAAACAGGACAAACAACCATTCAGGCACAAACTCACACCTAAGGACAATTTAGAGAAGCCATTTAACCTAGAAGTGATATTTTTGGACTGTAGGAGGAAGCCGGAGTACCTGGAGAGAACCCATGTATACTCAGGGAGAACATGCAGAAAGACCCTGAGCCAGGAATCGAACGCGAAACCTTCTTGCTGCAAGGCAGCAGTTCTACCCACTACTGCCTACTCCCACGCTAATCGATTAATCAAAAACTGAATTGAAAGTATAATAAATGGCAAAATAATTGTTAACTTTAGTCCCAATAAGCTAAAATGATGTCCACATTTATTTATGACTGGATATTTCTAAATGTATAACTAATCTTATGAAATGTATCTCCATATCTATAAGCCTGTTAAAAAACAGAACAACCCACCTGCTAAGACATTATATATTCCATTCCAGTTATTTTCTTATCACACTTAAAACACATTTATTAGAATTGAAAATGTAAAATAGTCTGTAAAAAATGTTTGTTAAACATAAAGTGGTATCTGTGACTCTTAAGGTCAGGACTGGTAGCCTCGATATCCATGAAGTAGCTTGTGCCGCTTCCACACAGAGCCTGGTTGACCCGCTAAATCACGTAACACCATTGAATGCAACGTACGGACGTCAATATTACACTGATCGATCACATTTCTGTTGGAAACAAAATGAGAAAAAGTTCCAATTTGTTCGTACAGTTTATATATTGTTTGATTAACCTTCACTGCTGATAACCCTGTGCTTATTTTTCTAGATACGACTTGGCCCAGAACAACTCCATCCGTGAAATCGAGGCTGTGCGAGCTCATGTCTCCCACTTGCGAGAAGGCGTTCTGCGACACTGTGTGATGGGTGACCTCAGCTTTAGGCCCAAAGCTGAGCTGCAGAGCCTTCTGACACACCTGGACCAGGTGGACACGGCTAAAAACCCGTGCATCAGAGAGGCCCGCCGTCGCGCTGTGGTAGAGGTCCAAGCCGTCATCACCTTCCTGGACCTACGCGAGGCCTTGGCGTGTCGTCAGCCGGGCCCTGATGAGCACCCGTCGCATCAGGCTGTTTGGATGGTCCTGGGGAGCCTGTCTGACCTACAGGCCCAAGTGCTGGGTTTTGACGGCAAGCGGGTCGACAAGAGCTACATGATCCTGGAGGAACTGCTGACCAAACAGCTGCTGGCGCTGGACGCCGTGGATCCGCAGGGCGATGAGTCAACGAAGATGGCAAGAAAGCAAGCGGTGAAGTTTGCCCAGAACATTCTCAACTACCTGGACATGAAGACAGACGAGTGGGAGTATTAACGGGAAACGACACTGGGTTGGATGATGGTAGCAGAGGAAAGGTAGCTGAAGATAGCACTGATCCGAAGTGGTGTGTAATCATTCCGATTGCTGTAAATATTGCCCAAAATACCCAGAATCCACTGCAGCAGACCTTTTTTTTGTCCCTCTGTAGTAGTCAAAGCCAACCCATCAGAAAACAGACATCCTTTTGTAAAACACACGTATTGTTGAGTGTGAGTTTCCTAATGCGCGTGTCACAGTTGCTTCTTGCTGTCAGAAGTCTGCAGCCAAAACGCTCATCTTCTGCTCCCTTCACAGAGTAAAGTGTTCAGTTTGATTGATTGTGAAGCAGCAGTCCCTTTGATTAACTTCACTTTCCGTTGCTAATGGAAACAGCTGGTTAAACGCTAGCAGTACGAGGTGAAGCTGTTCTGTAGGACTGAAACAACAGACCCGAGCCTCTTTTGTTTGAGTTTTCTGCATTTTCTACAAATTGTAGAGGGTCAGGTTGCAGGAATATAAACAGAATGAATTAAATCAGGATTCAAACAGCTGCAATTACAGGATAAAGATTAGCTGATGAATCTAAAGCCACTCTCTACCAAAGAGGCACAGACTCCTTAAAGGAAAAGTTCGCTCATATTCAGAATTCAAACTTCTGAAAATAATTTAAATATGAAATTATTATACTGTTCAATAAATGAAGTGTTTTTAATTAAGAGTAATTTTCATTTGAACGTGCTTTACTGAAGGCATCCATGTTTGTCAAAGAACACTACTGCCACCTACTGGTTTGTGACGTCACAGTGCGGTATCGGCTGTTGATCAAGTCCCAGTGCTGTTTCTGGTGTTTGTCACAAAGCGCTATTATCCAAGTCATCTGAAAACATTCTTCTTCCAAATGTTGGCTACATATTACTTGTTTTTTCTCTGGCCAGAATCCAACAACGAACCCGTCCGTGGAGGATCATGAATCAGAAAGGTGAAATAACAAATTTCTTTTCCCACTTTTACCCGATGTATTCCAACATCCAACTGCCATGCACGTGGGCGTTGCCAGTTTAACTATAGCTCTGGTGAATTTCAGTGGTGAAGTCCTCTGGAAATCTCAAAGTCTAGTAGCTCCCATTGATTTTGCTCGTAAAGCGGGAAGAATGGCGCTAGGCTTACCGCACCGTGACGTCACTGCCGGAAGATGTCAGGAGGGAGGTGTTACTATATTTGGGCAAAAATGGCCGCTCCCAGACTCCGTGATCGCAAAAGTATTAGTTTTAGGTATAGATAATGATCAATTGATCATTCCTTGCTGAGCGGACTTTTCCTTTAAATCTTGGTGATGCTTCTTAAACCTGATAAATGCAGCTGGAAACTTAAAAGCTTGTTTCCAATGTTGTAATAAAATAAGACCTGTCACTGTTTGGCCTGTAGTACCACCAAAATCTCCCATAATAAGATTTAGTCCCAACAGTTGATGAAGAAATGAAAATCTATTCTAAAATGAATGTTTTTTTTTGTTTTTATAGATGGGAGGGTTGATGGGAGAGCAAGCTAAGATTTCAGCCTTTGCAGTTTCTATATTTGTCTGCAGATATTTGTCCCAAAGAGGCTGAAAATAGATCAGAGATGACTTTTTCTATTTGGTTGTTTCAGCTTTGATGGCTTTTCTTCTGTTTGTTTCTACCCACTGCTTTCTGTTGATGGAGTGTGACTGAAGCCTTTTATATAGAACTATACAGAAGGAGCGGAGGGTCAGGGCTGAAGTCCATGGTTCTGACAGGAGGGCTCTGATGGTAGAGATCAGATTTTAGAGTCGTCTAGAAACCACTCTGAGCTGCTGCTGCTGCTGCTGTTGGAGATGGAGGAAGAGAAGGACTGTAGAGAATCTCTGTGCCTTTACTTCTCAGCCTTTTACCCATCTGGTTGTGTGAGACGGTGTTTTAGTGCAGCAGAAATAGAAAGCATTATTTATGATATGCTTCAATACACCAGAATAGGACACAAAGTACTGAATGTGTTTCATGGAAAGAGCACCTTGGCCATCGTCAGAGGGAGAACCGGTCTTGTTTTGTTTTTTTGTTTTGTTCGTTTGTTTCTTTATTCATATCTAATTCTCCACAATGTTCCAGGTTTTCATTTGTACCAGTTTACCAGTACAGGTCACTGAAGTTTGTGGTTTGAGTGGGAGAGGGACTTTTACATTTGAGGAGGTAAAAGTGAACATGACAAAAATTTTATCACAGAGAACATATTTCTAAAACTAACCACAATTTGGTGTAATAACGTATTAGTTTAATAGTGTGCTCACATTTGTAAGCAGGATTTTTCCCCACTATACGCTTTCAGGATGTGTTTAGATTTAAACGAAAACTGAAATTCAGTCTTTTCATCTTTGTTAGAAAATGAGTTTTAGATGTTTGTTATATTTAGTTATTCATACATCTTTAAACTGATCTACTTTTTTGTCTCTCTCGCATTTCTTTACTTTCCTCCCTTTGCTAATTTCATAGAGCTACACAGGTCTGTGTAGCCTTCTACTGTTTTCAGTTCGATATTTCTTTTCTAAGCTTAACTAGACTATTAATGGATCGAATATATGATTGAAGTGCCCAAGGGAAAAGTGCTTCTAATTATCTTTAGCAGTAAGTGACAGAAATGTAGACTCTCCTAACTCAAACATTCCTGCTGAGCAGGTTTCCTAACCCAACAGTCTTGTTTTGCTGGTGTTGTTCCTGACAGGGTGAATGTACACTGACGGGTCACACTTCCTGATGGTTTTCTAAATTTCTCTGAGCAAAGTACATTCGTGCATCATTTGATCTGCTTTTTAACAGTTTCTGGCACGAAGCAGCCAGATTTTTTTCTTGTTGATGGGATGAGTCTGTTTGGCTGCTGCTGTCGAGGATGCAGCTCATTCTGGGAATCTCTCACCAAACCATCGCACACACAGCCTGAGCTCATTTATTTCTTTCCAATTGACAGAACAGTCATGGGGAAAAGAAATGGACCATTTTTAAATCATGTTATCTCTATGAGGACATAATGGAAAAGCTCTGGTCTTCAGCAGGATCTGGACTGACATAAAATTAACTTCAGTGTCACTGAAACAAACTGGGAGAGTTTGTTCTGCTGTTGATCAAAGCAATTGATCATTTCAAAGCTCCCCAGCGCCTTTAAAGGTAGATTATTTGGCTACTTGTATGACAGTCTGTCATCCTGGTGTGTCATCCCAGTGCTTAAAGGGAAAGGCAGCAGCGTCCCCCTTAGAGAAGCAACCATACAGTAGCAGCCATTAAAAATTTCCCCACTTTCCTTGATTGGCCTTTGGCTGGTCCTCTAAGATTCCTTTTTAAACATCAATCTTTGTACTAAAATATTCTTTCTGTCATGATTTGTGGACATTAATATTTAAAGAGAATTAAAAAAAGAAAATTAAAACAATCCACTGGATTTTGTTTCCAAGTTTGAAGATGTTTCACTTCCCACCCAGGAAGCTTTTTCAATTCAAAATGTCAGAAATAGCGTCGAGTTCGAGGTTTTTATACAGTAGCCCAACAAAGCCTTCTTTTTGTTTTGAAAACATGCAAATTGAAACTGACGAAAGGGTCCACCTCTTAGGAATTGGGGTCGTTCGGCTTCTTTTTTTGGCTAACACTTAGAAAAGTCCAGTGGATTGTTTTGATTTTCTATTTTTGGAATGACTAGGACCTGGATGACTGTGAATCTTCACCAGCATCTAAAGACAAGCATCATCTCCTGGTCAGACCCTGTAATTCTGTGAAAGGGTGGAGTCACTCCAGTGGCTGGAAGGTGGAGGGAACTCTGCTGGGAGTTGGAGGGAAGTGGGCTGCCATTCGCCTGGCGTTTGACTGGGAAGGGCCATTTTGAATGGCTGCTACTGTATCTGGCTCCTAGTGCAGAAAGAGCTACAAATTAAATCCAAGCTATTTAAAGTCTGTTATTCAAAAGGCCACAGGTGGCCTGTCATCCATGCATCCTCATGCTGCAACCAAAATAAGGTTTCTACGGAAGAGGATTAGGGCCACTGGAAAAAAAAATAAAAAATTTTACCGATTTTAAAATTTTATTTCAGTTTACTCTCAGAATTTCACTTTAATCTCAGAATTCTGACTTTTTTATTCTCAGAATTCAGTCAGAATTCCTATACTAGACTGAAATAAAATTAAAAAATCTGTCCACCATTACAAATGTTTTATATGGAAGGCTAGACCCTCACAAGAGTTAAAGAACAGCAGCTGATTTAATGTAGGTTAAAGCTAGTGATACCAGAGAAGTTAAAAGAAATGCATAATATTTGGTAAAAATCCTACCCATATGTGAGAGGAGAGGTGACGATGTGCGCCTGTTTTCTAACCACAACAACTCTGCGATTTACCGTAATCCAGTCAACTCCTCTGGATGCTAAAGTATTCTAGATTCGGATGTGAATTTGAAGCCGCACCCAAAGCGGGTCATTATTACAGCAAATGACCCAAAACAAACTGCAGCAGCACATCTAAAAACAGATGGATTGGAGAAACTGAGAAAGCTGTTAAATAACATTTAACTGAAGCCACATGGACAAAGATTGAGCACATCTAAGGGTTATTCCTGCCGTCTGCTCTACAGCTTAATCCTGAAGTCTGTACTGATCATTTTAAAGCATAATTTTACCCATGGCTTTATGTGAACCGCTTCATGTCACGTTTTAAAACTTCTTTATTTAGCTTTTTAGCATCTCAAACCGTAGAGTGAAACAGATTTGTATGCAGTGCTTCCCGAAAAGTTTAAAAAAAACAGGATGTGAGGGGTAGATATGAGAAAAAAAAAAATCTGAAGGATTAAGTTAAGGTAAATACTCTGGAGTTTATCTTTACTGCAGAAATTTCCCACTTTTTTAGTATCAGTATCACTTAAGGTATAGAATGAGTATTCAGGTTCCTTTAAATAAATTAGAACATCAAGTTATTTTGTTAACATATTGTATAAATTACACAAACTGTTATCACATCTTTTGTTAAATATAATTGTCCCTACTATTTGATATCTGATATTACATCAGAAACTTAAACCTAATGAAATGTTTGAATGTTTTTCTAAACCTACTCTTGATCTGAAACACAAGCCTGATCAGAGCGCAGATTTCTGGTTTGCTGAGACGTACCTGTGAATGGTCGAACTAATCTGAAGTTATCCCAAAGATTTTATATGAAGTAAAAAAAAAAAAAAAAGCCAATGTTTACCACATCCGTATGTTGGTGTGATATTTGTTTAGCTCCCCACTTACATCATGTTAGGAGTTAACTAGACAGAGGAGTCCTTTATGGTATTCAGATGCAGGCCTATGGTATATTTATTTATTTATTGATTGATTTATTTAGATGTAAAAAAAATTAAAGGTCAGATTTTCTTTGATGGTGCTGAATGTAGTTTTTCTTTTTTTCATAGCACTCACTTTCTTGCAGAAGTATTCATGCCTTATTCATGTTTTTTGTTTGTTTGTTTTACTATTTTACTATATTTTAATGTGTTCTAAGATTTTATTAGATAGATCAGCACCAACTAGAACATTATTGTTGATGGGAAAGAAAAATATTAAT